TGGAAGACGCTTCACACTGCTTCGATAGCAGTGCATATAGCACAAAAACGAAGGTGCAAAAGGCTGAAGGAGCAAAAGCAAAGGCGGGGCAAGGGGAAGGGAGAAGGAACAGAAGGGAAAAGGTGGGAGCAGTAGTACATCAAAATAGACGAGGTACACGAACAATGCGACTCGGTGCCGCGAATCTAACGGCTTCCCGAACAGCCAGTCGGAGGGTGGCCTGCCTACCCGAAAAGAAACGAACCTGCATCTCGCTGCGATGGACCCATAAGCGCGAGACGACGAAGATGCTCGACAGAGGTAGTCATGTTATCGGTGATTTCGCTCAGCAGACCCATCTCGTCTAATGCCGCCCAAAACTTCACCGGCTCTGCAACAAACACAGATTGCAACAAAACGAAACAGCCAAATAACCCCACTGCCAGAAGCTAATCCGGAAAGCCCCATTCCCATGCAGCGCTAGCACGATTTATAGGGCAGAAATTACTCACACACTCGCGCACGTCGCTTCCTTCAAAGCCAGAAATGCGAGATTTAAAGGGTGTGTGCAGGTCCGCGTGTCAGTCAGCATACCTGCAGCACTGTTGAATTTTGGCAGAGAGAATAAAAATGGGTGCAAGACTAAGAAAATGAGTGGCATCGACGAGAAACATACGATTTTTCATGAGCGAGAGAGCACTACTGCCGTTACTGTTGGTGCTGCTGGCATCCTCGTCGACAGTGGGCGTCGGCACGGACACCGGCACCGGTGCGATATCCTCCTCATACTTCTGGCCCTTCATGAACGTCGCCATTATTGCTGCAACAACTTTTCGAGATTCATAGGTCATTTTGTGAAACTGGGCTAAGTGTACAGCGTATGCAAGGTGCATGTGTTCGTCCGACTGAGTGTACGCCTCCTGCGAAGCATGACACATCAGCAGTTGTGTCTCTCACTCTCTCTGTCAGTCGCCCCAAGCTTCCTAAAATTTATTCCAGGTAAATCTGTCTACAAAAGAAAATGTCC